ATTAAAATTATAGTAAATTTAGGTTTTAGCTATAAAAAAAATTTCACTCTTGGAAAAAGCCAAAGTATTTTCAAAAAAGACAGAAAAACCTCTCAACTTTCAAATCAAAGACATGCAAATGTAAAGTATTCCTTAAGAAATCCAAAAATAAATAAAGGCAATTTTGTCCATTTTGGCTTCTTTTACAAAAATTTTCTCTCTTTTGTGTTTTTCCAAAGTCTCCCAAAAATTATTGGGCTGACATTTAAAAAGTAATATAATATAGTGTACCCAACTAAAGTCAAGGAAATGTATGCTGATACTATTGTTATGTGCCGGCAAGATAACAACCATCCATCGGTGCAGAGCGCTTCTGGAAAGGAAATAGCAGTCATAAGGCTTGTCAATATGAACGGAAGATCATATGAATACTTTTAAAAAAAACGTAGTGCTTTTGAATTGGACAAGATGTTTCGAAACAATCTGTGGGATTGCCACTTGAAAAAAAACAAACCGCTTTTTTAAGCTAGTTATCATATTGTTCAATTTTAATATTAAAATCCTCAAGGTTATGTAATTGTCTTGAATGAAATATTCCAATATTTCATAACTTTTCACTTGTTTTTTTTTATTTAGAGAAAAGTGATAATTGTATTCATAAATTAGGCACAAAGACCATCAACTAAAAGGGAAAATACAAATACCCATAAAAGGGTAATACAAATATGGAAGCGTAGTAACCACACCGGGTTAATCCAAATACAAGCCACATAAGACCATAGATATTTCGGCATAAAAACAGCATGCTTGAACAAACCAGATATATCGCAACGTCCAAATATACCAATACAACTATAACTTTTTGTTTACACCATAATTAACAGAGCATATCCAGCCTCAAAATAACTAGCACCAAGGCAAACATGCCTTCTCCCCTGCCGAAGGAAGACACCTTCCGAGGTGCCAGACACCTGCCGAAGCTCTCGATTGCCGAAGCTCTCAATTGCCGAACCTAATCTCCGAGACACGTGTCACCAACACAGTAGCTTGCACAAAGTCGCACATCGAAACTTTGTGCAAACCTCTCACTTTTACTTCTCTATAAATATGGAACAGTACCCAAGTAAAAAGGGTAACTTCTCTCTCACTTGTACTGTTACTTTGCCAATTTTACCATTCATAGCTGATTTAAGCATTGGAGAGCCTTCGGCCGGCACCACACCGGTGCCTGAAGCTTGACGACTGCTCTTCTATTTTGTCTTCTACAGGCTCTTCCCTTGTTGAAGGTCCTCACCTTCTCCCTTGCTAAAGGTCCTCACATTCTCCCTTACTGAAGGTCCTTACCTTTTCCCCTGCTGAAGACTACCCACTTCTCTCGAAGTTGACCTCTCAAAAAGAGCATCAACATTTTTAAACTCTCAAAAAGGAAAAAAAAAAAAAAAAAAACAAAAAATAGTAGTACTAGAACAATTAAACACCCAACTCACAAGGATTTGATGTAATTATTACCGAACAACAAAACAACAAGCACACAACAACCAAAAGAGAACAAATCCACTATTACTGCTTTTGCCTCCTCCCCCCTTCCCTTCTGGAAGCACACAGCGCCGCTTAGAAAGATTTTAGGGTTTTAAGCCCCTTCCTCTCTATTTTTTTTCACTGCAGATGTTATAATAATGTGATAGATGCAATATTTCATAACCTTTTATTGCAAATATTTCATAATCTTCCAATATTTCTTAACTACTGCCCAAAAAAAACCTTTTACTGTAGATGCATGTTTCATACTATCATTGTTTTACACACTAGGCCAACATTTACATATTCTTGGCTGCTACTACTTATATTCAAAAGGTGGTTCTAACTCTTCACTATGAAGCAGCCTAACTTCCAAAACACTTCACATGAATTTCCCACATTTTCCCAATTTCTAACTCACAAAACAAAAACATTTTAGAATGCAGCAGTATTCCAACACCCATTTAAATTCCCAGGTGAGGCAAAACATTAATGGATCCATTTAGATTTCTCACGTTGCAAAGGGCTTCTCAGGCTACGACTAAATCTTAGAAACCAGCAGCCTACATCGTGGAGTTAATCTCTAGGACTGAAGTTACTTGCACCTTATTCATGAAGGATGCATCTAGTTCAGCTTTGTGCCGCGTGAAACTTGTTTCATGTCACTCCCTGAGCTTAAGTTCCTCCTCACCAAGCCTTTGCATCTCCATTTTGAATTGCAAAACATTAACGAAATTGGAAGAGAGAAAACATCAAGCTCTCTCTTCCTAATCCCTTCAATCTATCACATCAAGTGAGGGTGCTAGCACCACTCTTCACTTGTTGTCTACTCATTCTCTTATCCCATTCATTCCTTGGTGAAGAGCTTTGGGGAGATGCATATCTTTGTACCTATTTGGAGAACTACAAGGTGGAGAATCAACATCAAAGGGAGAGACAACAACAAAGGGACCACTTCCTCTACTTGAACACCATTCTTGGTTTTAAGATTCGCTCCAAAGGTATGAACATTTTATCTTTTTCTCAAATATGATTTAGAGAGTCTTTGGTGCACACTTTCATAGACTTATAAAGATTGGGACCAAATGAGACTTGCATGAATCCCTAGTTTATTTAATGCTTCCGCTCTTACTTTGATTTCATAGTATATATGGCTTGCTAAGTGATTTATACTATCAAAGTTTGGTTGTACAGTTTTTAGAAATCTCTACACAACACCATTCCCACAATATTCCCTTCACATGTCCCACAAATAGATGATGTCTTGCATTTTACATGAGGAACTCACTACATTCATTACCTTCTCATTAAAGGTAGTCGCTTCATTCATTAACTTCTCATGAAATGAAGTTACTTCACTAATTAACTTTCCACTAGTTTCCAAGACTGAACACTTCACCTCAGCTTGTATTATTGGAATCAAAGCAGATGGAACTTCTTGAAAAATTCTTTCAATGTTCACTCTGGACAATTCATCCATCCTAGTGCATCTTGAAACAATCTCAATAGTAGGACTATCAAACCCACCTTGCTTTTTGACCCATTTAATTTATTTACACGCTCAATTATTTTCCCATGACACAATGGGATGCAAAGATTTATCAACATATACTCCACTATGGACAATTAAATTGAAGTAGAATAGCTTGAGGAAAAGCATTGACCCATTTAGATATGCACCTTTATTCCTTTTCGAACGACCTAACACTTTTGCATAAGAAGTTGAATGCATGGCCAGCCTAATTCTTACCCTTTATCTCCCTCAGGATCCTCAAGGAAGTTAAATACTTCCAACTCACTGACAATGAAGATGTGGGGCAAAGCAGAGTGCCAAGTGCAAACATCACAAATCAAACTTTGAAGTCATCATCTGTATTTTCATACTTTTTCCAACTTCGCAGCTAAATAACTTAGCTATAATTTTTTTATTTATCATTTATGCAGTAAGACCAATAACACGTCCAAAGTCGGCGGCACTTATTCCAAGGATATTGTCGTGCAATTTGAACCTTTCAATAAAAAAATTGCAAAGTGGCCGGTGCAAGCGAGTGCATAATACATATGACAATGTACGGAACCCAATATCAGTAACTAATGCTCACTTCTCCTTCGACAATTTTTCCACCATATGATGGAATCTTTCTAGGTTGCATCTAATCATCAAACCTTTCACTTGTTTTGACTCATTTACTTTCCCACTCTAACCTGAAACGGGGGAACCATATATCGCCTTGTCTTTTGGGTTCAATTTCCTCCACTTTGTAACAATCCCTTGTTCTCTTGTTGTACTTGAAAATATAAACTATCATTAAAAAAATTTATTTTAATAAACTATGGCCTAATATGTTTCCATCTCTCACCTCATTGCCGAACTATGCGCTGCCAACTTGACCCATTTCATTCCGTTTCTTTTTCTTGTGGATAATTTATTTTTAATAAAAAAATCATCCTAATATTAACTACATTTCCATTTTTTAGATACATATACGTGTAACTTTTGTGAAATGAGATTAGACTCTCAATAAATTGATGAAAAATAATGATAATCTCAAAAAATCAACAAATAAACCAAGAATTCACTAATTATAACTGTTCAAAAGATGAGAGGGCTCAGAATCAAATTAAAAGTAAAGGAGGTAAATGAAAAGAAAATCCTAAAATTCATGAAGCTATCCTAATTTTTTCCATTTTGTTAATTTTGATAAAACCCGAGGATGAAAGGGGAGCGAGCCTTTGCAGTACTTGCCACCACAGGAGTTTCAAATTGCAATATAGAGAGAGGCCAAGCCACACGATGAACGAATGACACAAGCCACGCCCCGCTGTCCCCACGTGCAACCTGCGACATCTCCAACGCAACCAAATCTAATCCAAAATCCCGCGAAATTATCATCCAAGAAGAAAATCGTAACCAAACAAAGTCCCAATAATTAAATTTATAATATTCATGGAATATATCTTGCCAAATCCGAATGTGAGGTAAAAAATATCGATAGAGTAACAGTGTTGAATTCTTCACCCACTTTGTTGTTTTTGGTGGCAACTGATCACTACGCAAATAGTGCCCCTCCCATTTTCAACTCATTTTCAACGGACTTCCCAATACTCTCTCTCTCTCTCTCTCACTAAAAACCCAATTGCAAATCACAGCATAACAGACTGGTCGATCGCTTTCTGGGTTTTGTTTCTGATATTCTCGACTTCAATTTGGTAATTAATTTATGGGTTTCTAAATTTCCTTTCTGATAATCCATGTAATGGCACTACGAGCAAAATGGGTTTCTTTTGTTGATCTTCAATTATTGCTTTTTTCTTTTAATTTTGTCTGTGCTCTGTTCTTGTTCTTCAATGGCATCACCCTAATTTTGGTAATTTCTGCAATGAAATCAGTTGCATTCCATAGCTGGTTCTGGCTGGTTTTTTAGTGTTATAATCTTTAATTTTAAATGGGTTTTTGTTATCTTTGACTTTTCGGCAATGGGGCAATTAATCACCAGGTAAAAATGCAAGCGTCAACTTATGGTGCACTAAAGGGGAGCATAGGATTTGGGGTCCAAAACCAAACAAGGGTATCGGGTTTTGGTGAATTGAGAAATAGAACAAGTACAGTATCCAGAAATCTGTGCGTGATTGATAGGAGCACTTGCTGCGGTGGATTGTGCCTCAGTTCTGCGGCTATGGGAGCCAAGCTTGCAGGTCTCAGAACGGGCTTTGATGGGATTTCCATGTCCACGTTAAAAGCCAGATCGGTCCAGGCTCGGGCTTCTGGTTTGTTAATTGCTCTCTTGATCATGCGTTTTCATTTTTGCTTATATGTTAGCTTCTTGGTCATGGGAACCTCCTGTGATCATTACTGATGCTTTGGTGGAAGATTCTCTGTACTAAGTCGTTTCCTATCAATATTATCGTTTCGTTTCAAAAAAATATGGTGAGTTCTATTGGAAGATAGTATCTGTCTCTGTTTTTTACTTTCAATAAAGATCTTCTAGTTGTCTATTTGTTATCCATATCTGGTTAGTGATGTATGTAACTTTCTTAGTTTACTTAAATTCTAGCCTCATTCTATTGTTCGACTGCGAGGACGAGGGTTTGTTTCATACTAATTGTCACCTCCTCTTAATGGGTGCTGTCACAGCTGTTTTATGGCAATTTTGGCCAGTTGGGATTACATGAAATTTGTCGTCAAGAGTATGATTGGAAAACTGTGTTCTAAATCTGTTGTTGCTTACTCCATGAAAAAGTCATTTCAATATGTTGTTGCTCACTCCATGAAAAAGTCATTTCAATCTGTTGTATCTTCAAAATAAAAAATATCAGTAAAATCTGTCTCTATGGAACTGTATATGCTGTAACCAATCTGGATGCTTCTTGGATGGTGTTGAATGACCTTACATGTCAGTTTAGGAGGATGCATACGTTTGTTTCCTTGGGATTTAAAAACTGGATTTCAATACTTTACTGGGCCATTATACATTGGATTTTGATTTTATTATTGTTCTTACTAGTACTATATAATGCAGATGGCGATCTTGAGAATCTTGTTCCCTCCAAGCCTCAGGGGAAGTCTTCTGGAACAGTTTTGCCATTTGTTGGTGTTGCTTGTCTTGGAGCCATTTTATTTGGTTATCATCTGGGGTAAGGTTTAATTTGATTACGAGAATACATTCTCATTTCAGTCTCAGTTTCCTTACCAAGTGATTTAGGTTGTGCAAGTCAAGTAAGATATTATGTTTCAGTTGGTCACAGAATGTGTACGCAAGTCATGACATCTTGTTATTTTTCTTTCTACAGTGGTTCAGCGTATAACTTAATCATGTGTGAGGCTCACTATGACATCTGCCTGTATTTTTTTGCAGGGTGGTAAATGGTGCTCTTGAGTACCTATCCAAGGATCTTGGCATTGCTGAAAATGCTGTATTACAAGGCAAGTCCACTTTTTGGTCAGTTTAATCTGTGGAAAATAGCGTAACTCAAGTAACATTTCTGGTTTGTTTTCTTGTTTGTATTCTTCATATATTAGAGTCACATGAAGCAATTTTCACCATTTTCCTATTCCTTGAGGACTCCAGTACAAAGTTAAGGAAGGAATATATAGTCAATTACTATCATTATTTTTCAACAAAAAAAAGTATTGTAGGTTATTTTAAAGACTCAGTGTATTTACTTAACTGCACTGCAACGCATATAATGTCGCCCAAATTTAGGTTTTTTCTTTTGGCGTATACTGTTTGCTATTAATATTGCATAGTTCCAACACCATAAAATCTTTTGCAGGGTGGGTGGTTAGTGCGCTTCTAGCCGGTGCCACAGTTGGATCATTTACTGGTGGAGCGTTGGCTGATAAGTTTGGCAGAACTAGGACTTTTCAATTAGATGTCATTCCTCTAGCAATTGGAGCATTTTTATGGTCTGTCTTTTTCCATCAACTATATGGTTGTGATCATTAATTTGAGTGTTATAAACTAATGAATAGTTTCTTTAATATTTCAGTGCCACATCCCAGAGTGTGCAAACAATGATAGTTGGCCGCTTACTTGCTGGCATTGGAATTGGTATCACATCTGCTATTGTCCCACTTTATATATCTGAGGTACTAGTTATGTTTATACATTCCCATTCTCAATTGTTGGCTTGTGACATGTTAACTTTACCACCTACCAACACTACATACTTATGTGCAGATCTCTCCAACTGAAATTCGTGGTGCGCTTGGATCTGTAAACCAGCTTTTATATGTATTGGGATTCTTGGAGCGCTGGTGGCTGGATTACCTTTAGCAGCAAATCCATTATGGTATTTCATCATTGCACCTTTTCTTTTCTTTATGAACCATTTTGTTTATATGTGCGTGCGTGCGTGCGTGCGTGTGTGTGTGTGTGTGTGTGTGTGTGTGTGTGTGTGGTGTGCGTGCGTGCGTGTGAGAGAGAGAGAGAGAGAGTGTGTGTGTGTGTGTGTGTGTGTGCGCGCGCGTGTGTGTGTGTGCGTGTGGTGTGCGTGTGTGTGTGTGTGTGTGTGTGTGTGTGTGTGTGTGAGAGAGAGAGAGAGAGAGAGAGAGAGAGAGAGAGAGAGAGAGAGAGAGTATGTGTTTTACTTTTTTGCGACAGTTTATAAAACCCAACATCTGTTCAGAAAAGTTACTCATTGTTGATTGAAGTTTGACATATATAAAAGGTGGAAGTAGAAATTAGGTGAAAACTTGGCTAACTGGGCTCAGGTTTGGATGCTAATATTTTATGGAAAATGTTAGGCTTACCACATTTTTATACCATATTGTGTACGACCACTCTAATAGAGGTGGGCCCCATTGTATTGTTGGGCTCCACCTCTATTAGAGAGGTGGTACACAATGTGGTATAAAAATGTGGTCATCCTAGCATTACCCATATTTTATATATGAAGTATAAATACATTTTTGTCTTTGAGTTTGATATAGAATTTTTCTGGTAAAGAGCCTATTGGCTAAAGTCTAAAAACAGTAGAGATATAGAAAATTCCTCATATTCAAATGGGTGGAAAATAAAAATAGAATCTGGTGAAACTTTTACCTTTGTTGACAAGTTCGAACTTATTTCATTGGGGCTAAATTAACCTCCTAGCTAGATTGATCTATCAATTTTCTAATAATCACAATCTTTGTTACTTTATTCCAGCGAGACAGAATGTTGCACCGTAAGATTTTCATTTCATCTCGTGTAATTATTCATCATTCTCAAGTGTATATTTTGCTGCAAGCGGATGAGTTTTTGAAATTATAGTAAACACTGAATGAATTCTTGATTATGCTTTCTATTGGTAAAAATGAATATATGAAACTCTGTTTATGGACTTTAGTAGTCTGGATAACAGTGGTATAAATCTTTCCTATTTTTAAATATCAATTTTCCTGCTCTGTCTCTGTCTCTGTCTCTGTCTCTGTCTCTCTCTAATATTTTTTCTATCAGGTGGAGGACAATGTTTGGTGTTGCAATAGTACCCTCTGTTCTACTGGCACTAGGAATGGCTGCTTCACCCGAAAGTCCAAGATGGCTTTTCCAGGTTGTCAAGAATGTTCGATCAAGTAGCAGTACAGATGTTATGAGTGCAATTTTTATTGTGTTCTTTTCAGCTTTTAATTGGATATGATTGTTTCCTTCAAAATTATTTTCAATGGAAGTGCTAAGCTAATCCCTCTCTGCAGCAAGGAAAAATTTCTGAAGCTGAAAAGGCTATAAAAACATTATATGGAAAAGAAAGAGTTAGTGAGGTTATGCATGACTTAACATCTGCAACTCAGGGTTCTGTAGAGCCTGAAGCTGGCTGGTTTGATCTGTTCAGTAGCCGCTATTGGACAGGTTTGCCTAAATTTTATGGAATTCATGTTTGTGATGTTAAGCATTCTTCTTTTTCTCTGTTGACGTATGCCTTTATGCAGTTGTTAGTGTTGGTGCGGCACTTTTCTTGTTCCAACAATTGGCCGGGATAAACGCTGTGGTCTATTATTCTACTTCTGTCTTCCGCAGTGCTGGCATTACATCTGATGTTGCAGCAAGTGCTCTTGTTGGAGCAGCAAATGTCTTCGGTTTGTGTCTCACTATCTTTCTTTTTGAAGATTGGAAAATTTGTTTTGTCTTTGTCATGAAATGTTTGCTAATGCCAAGAATGGTATCTTTTCAGGAACTGCTGTCGCATCCTCATTGATGGACAGACAAGGAAGGAAAAGTCTTCTACTCATAAGCTTCGGTGGAATGGTAGCGTTCTTTTTATTATAGATCTATTTCTTTGTTTGAAGTAATTGAATACCTTATATATAGATGCACACATGCACACACACATGGCAGACATTAATACAAAAAGGTGAAGTTTTATTTATTTATTGGCATTGATATAGGTTTAAATTTCAACTCTTGAATTTTAACCTAACGATTGGTGACTATGTGCTCACGGCTCTGTATATATGTAAATATACAAATACTATGCTCCCACATGTATGGGTCAGTCTGGTAGAAACGCTAACTTGAGAGTAGTACAGTAGCTGCATTGGCTTGCCGCTCTTGTCCATATACACTTGTTAACTAATCATTTGGATACATAGTACATTGTGGCTTGGCCGTGCAGACCACTTATAGTAATGTGAGGCTGGTGGCTGCAGAAGTGGCCATGAATTCTATGGCATGTCAGGGCTTGGAGGGTCCTTTTTCGGATAAGTAGAAATGTTGAGTCAATATATTGCTGATTCATTCCAACATGATTTAAAAGTGATCTGTACGTAATGATTATAGATATTTCTTCTCCATTAACCCAAGTGCTCTACATGTGTGCCCCTTCAGTTTTAGATTCACTGTCTACATGGGTAGCAGACAAAGGTCATGAGGCTTGGAAATTTCATTTAGTTGAAAAAATCATGGAAAAGTTACACGCTATTTCTCCTTTGTGTCCTGTACATTGACCTTAAATGGCTTCCTGAGTGGACGATTTTTCTGAAAAACAAAATTATCATCCCCCAATGCATTTAAAAAGCTTTGGCAGTGCTGTTGCTTTAATTGAAATTGTGATAAAAATGGTTTCCTGTTTTTCCCTCTCTTTCTCATGTATTACTGATAATTTTTTCTTTATTGATTCATTAAGGCTGCTTCAATGTTGCTGCTTTCTTTGTCCTTTACATGGAAAGTCCTGGCTCCGTATTCTGGCCCCCTTGCTGTTGCTGGGACTGTTCTGTAAGTCAGAGGTTCCCTTTAAAATATAGATCCATACTGTTTATGCATTTGAAAGCTAAATATCCTATTTTAACATGGTTTTCATTTTTTTTTCTTTACAGCTATGTATTGTCCTTTTCACTTGGCGCTGGCCCTGTGCCTGCTCTCCTTCTGCCAGAGATATTTGCTTCAAGAATCAGAGCAAAAGCAGTTTCTTTGTCATTGGGCATGCACTGGGTAAGTGATAATAGGAAAGGTTTTTTTTTCCAACAGCTATTAGTTATGATATCCTGCCCAACCAGTCAGTATGTTTGAAGGATTAAGACTTTCCAGTAAAGCATGGCTGTTGTTTATATTTTAGATGCAGGAAGCAAGACAAATTTTTGGGTACTTAAATAATTCAAACCAAACAAACTTTTGTTTTTTTGGTCAAGTCAAACCAAACGAACTTGATTGCAGGAAGGATATTCATTTATCTTGCCAATGACTCTGTGTTATTGTCTAGACCTGCAGTCAGATATTTATATATTCATGCCTGACTGTGTTTGCATATACATACATATCTGGTATGCCTGTTAAGTATGTAAAAACTTTACTTCTGTTTTCTGTGTGGAATGAAAACGAATGAAGAGATGGATATTATGCTTACATTGATCCTGTTTGCGCAAGGTTATTTTAGCTGTGCTTTTATACTCCATCGGTTTACCTTTCTTATCTCATTTATTAACTGAATGTTTATGCTGTTTCACCAGATTTCAAACTTCGTCATAGGCCTCTATTTCTTGAGCTTTGTAACCAAGTTCGGGATCAGCTCAGTGTATCTCGGATTTGCTGGTGTCTGTCTTCTTGCTGTATTGTACATAGCTGGTAATGTTGTTGAAACGAAAGGGCGGTCATTGGAGGAAATAGAGCGTGCTCTTAGCGTTTCAACTTGATTATGATATGACTCAAACTACATGTAAAAATCTCACAACAGCTTTGGATTTTGGCCGAAGCATAGGCACCATCACTCCTTTTCATGCTGTGTGGACTAGGTCATTTCCACCTCTCGGGGTCTTGTATTTAGAGATTGAACTTTTGATTGTAACCGGATAAAATGGTGTCTATGGAATTCCATAGCTGTGCACAATACTACTCGGTGATGAGTGCTATGTGAATAAAATATCTTAGTATCTACCGTGAATTTTGATACTGTTCTTAATTTGTTGTCAGATTGAGTGACTTGTGTACAGGACCTTAAATGGTGTTCAGCCAGATAGGCCCAACATTTTTTTTATGGTATGATTTGGAAGATTCCACAAAAAAAATGTTCCGGTATTGGCTGAAAAACCAAAAAATAGATCGTGTTGGGAGCAAGTGCTTGGAAACTTTTATGCGTATGCCATAAAAGAATGTTGGGCCTATTTGGTTTTGTTTTCAGATTACTAGGCCTATTTAGTTACTGTTTTCGAGCTTGTTTGGTAACCATTTGAGTTTTTCAATTTTCAGTTTTTAGTCTTTTTGTTTTCAAATACCCCCGAAAAAAAAACCAAAAACCAAAAATGGTTATCAAATATGTTTTATTTTATTTTATTTTTCACTATAAGAAAAATAATAAATTATCTTATGTATATCCACATTAGAAACTAAGGTTTAACTGTTACAAAATTACCTTTAAAAAACTATAATACCTTGGGTTGTATCGAATCAAGAGAGATAACGAACAAAAAAATAGCAATTTGTTCTTGGATTATGACATATCTAGAGGCTCTCAAGTTAGTATTAGTACATAACTAGCAGAAAAAATAGCAACTTGTTCTTGGATTATGACATATCTAGAGGCTCTCAAGTTAGCATTAGTTCATAACTCTTCGCAAAATGTTATGTATACGTTAATGTTCCATTCTAAAAGGCTCATAACCTAGTGATTTTTGTAGAAATGTCACCTAAATTTTTACTACAGTTTTAATTTGTCACCTTAAAGAAAAATTTAAGAGAAATGTCATCTTAATTTTTCAAAATCCATGATTTGTCACGTTCCCCCATCCCATGTGCATCACAACCCCACCCACCTTGAAATCCATTCCCCCTTCGATGTGTTTTGGAGGTAGGTGGGGTTGGAGTAGGGGAGAAAGGGAGAGAAGTCTCTTTTTTCTCTCTTTTTTTTTCCTTGAAAATGGAAAGACTAAAATACCCTTAAAATTGATGGAAAACTGGATGTTGTTAAAGTCAGATGACAAATAATGGATTTTGAAAAATTAAGGTGACATTTTTATGAAAATTCCTATAATCTACTTTCATGTTTTGGTTGATTCTAAAACATAATCATGGCTAGGTGACTCTTGGGTTGCGTTCGAAGGTCATGGAGTTGGGTCTAAGGATCACTGGGTCAATTCAAGTTCAATGGTGCCCAAATCTGGTCTGAAAATTGCTGGAAAGGTGTGTGGGTCACTAGGTTGGCTTGGAAATCACTCATTTGGGTTCAAATGTCATCGGGTCGGACAGTGGGTCACTAAGGTTAGGTCTAGTTGTTGTCATGTTAGGTCCATTTGTCACAAGGCTAGGTTAGCGGGTCACGAAGTCGGGCCTAAAAGTCTCTTGTTTGTGCGGGGCCTATGATTAAGGGGATGAGTTTGAGTGTTAAAATTAGTTTTTGGTTGCTGGGCTAGGGGTGCACATATTTTAGTGTCATGTAGGTGTAAAGAGTGGGCCCACTTTTTCAAGGTAGCAAGTCTCAGCCATAGTCTAAAATATTGATAATATTGATGAAATATCGAGGATATTATCGTTTTTTCATGTCACGGATACTTCGAAACGTATCTATACGCATATTGTATAAATATTGATAATATCGATGTAATGGAAAAAAGAAAAAAAAATACAAAGCACACACGCAAAGGGACCCCAACGCCTTAACAACCATATTGCTTGTGTTTTTGTGATAATATGCTAAAATATGTATATTTATATTGTTTTGTTTTGAACTGTTTTTGTAAGAATTAGATTTTCACAAGAGAATGTGAGTCTTTGACATTTTCTTTTGGGATGGAATTGAGCGGCTCATGGAAAGAATTTGAGACCCTATCTTCAAATGATTTTGCTTATAGACAACGTCAACCAATCTCGGATCCATATGGGTGACATGTTAACAATTACATGGAAAACTATTTTGGGGATTTATTATTTGATGACTGCTCACAATACACTTATTCTACACATAGAGATGATGAAGATATTGAAAAATTTGAAGCTCATAGTCACTCATGTATCTTATCATGCAATATATAAAGTGTAAAATATTGTAGTAAATCATTATATATAAATGATTATGGTGTGTTTAATCTTCTTTCTTTAGTTACTACATATTTTCTATACTCACAGTGTTTGTTAGCTCGCTATATAACTAACTTAAATCAGTTAAACCCATTATGCAATGAATTTCTTTCCAATTTTTTTTGTGATAGACTAATAAATAATTGACTAAATAAACATCGTCCAAAGTTTCAATAAAAATTTCCAAGTTTTTCTTACAATTTCCGTGGTTTTTATTCAATTTTTATCGATATCAATAATATCCCGATATATCTATTGAAATTTCCATATTTATGGACTACCAATATTTCCGATACCATTGATATTTTAGACCTTGGTCCCAACTCATAGTTTCAATTTTGACTTAGTTGAGTTATGCAACTTTGAAGTAACACCTATTTTGATGAAACTTAACAATGTAATTTTTCAAACTCATAGAATGAAAGTTCATGTTACAGGAAGTGTATGTTGGAAATAATGACAATATCAGAAGGCAACAAAAAAGAAATGATTTGTTTGGTGTAGTCTATGAAGATTGCCAATGGAGGTATAAATTCATCTTTGCTTGGTGTAGTCTACGAAGATTGACAAAGGTCTGAATTCAGTTTTGCTTGGTGTATTCTAGGAAGATTGCAAAGGAGGTGTTTTCGTGGTTCCAAATCCAAAGTGCGTCCTTCTCTCATGTGCCTCGTGCTTGCAATAGCGTCTCTCGTAGGTTTAGCACGTTTTGGTCTTTGAGCCAAGCCAAGTAACATACTAATCAGCTATTCAACTTCAATGCTTTCAAATAGTGAAGCTTCTCAGATGTGAATCTTACTCAATCAACTTGGGCTGACTCTGTTCATGTACAACAAAGGCCTCTTTTTTCTTTGGATGAATATAGCCACAAACCATTTAAAAGTTTTATAGGTAATATCATTCACTCTGGCCATGTTCAACATATTTGCACCAGAAGTGTATAAAGCTGGAAACATAACGAATTATACCAGCAAAACATTTTCCTTACAATGAAAACGCACAAAACATATTCGGAAATAGTCTGATTCAATTACAAAAATGCCAGAAAAAGTCACCAAATGAGTTTTCAATCCAACACATGCAGCTAGTGGAGACAAACATGATTGGTTTGAGCTAAAACATATTGCAAAATGATTCAGACAGAGTCTAACAATGTTAGAAATCACAAAATAAAATAGTCGTCAGTTTTATTTCTTTATAAAATTTTCGTTTGGTCATTTCATTTCATGGTCTCTACCTTATATAGTGCACAAGAAATACAGGAATGAAGTGTTTGATAGAAAAGTTGAACATTTACCCCAACATTGTAACTAACATTTGCAAGGTAGATGCTCTCTACCAATAAAAAACTAATAACCTAGGTTAAGCAATCACCTTGCAGCCAAATCTTCGGAAATCAAGAGAAATTTTAGAACCTTTTGGAAACCAGCACTCAGGGGAACCATATTTCATCTTCATGGCAATATTTACATGTTTGCTTTCCTTTCCCACCTTTCCTTTGTGTCCAGCCTAACAAAATAGTAACAATAGATTAAAAAAGTACAGTATATAAATTAAAACAATAAATAAATAATGCAACACTACAATGATTGGAATGTTCATTATGAGCCAAACAGATCATCTCAAAGCTATCTTCCTATGTTTCCAGTCATACATATGACATAAAATACAGGGGTGCACAATACACAGGATGCACACACATAGAAGCATGTGCGTGCACATACACATGCCATGGACATATAGAATGCTAGGCGTACCATCTTTTGGTACCGCATTTTCATACCACCTAATGTGGCATCAGACTTGTGCATACCACATCAACTAATGATTCCAACTTTATTTAAATTTTTATTCACTGGAGAAGCTGTTTTAGCTTCTCCCTCCTCCCTAGCCGAAAAACTTCTCATCACAGGCAGATATAGCATCATCAATCACTGGTGAAAAATTGCCCATGCATTCTAGATCTAGATTCTGGTACACTCATTGTTTCTCCAGTCAGATGGCTCCTATCAGCAATGGTTTATTTGAAAGGGTCAAGACTCAGGAACTATATATTGAAGGATTCTCCCATCTCGAGCACAGAGGGAGGATGGAAGTGTAAAGATAAGAAGATGAAGTTCGGCCAGTGGGTGAGGAGTCACAGAGAGAGGATGCCAGTGTAATGATAAGAAGATGAAAAGGCTCAAAATATTGTCGGAGTCCTTAGCTGATGTGGGATGTACAAGTCAGATGACACATCAGCTGGTATAAAAATGTGGTGCCAAAAGATGGTACACCTAGCATTACTCATGGACATATGTGTGCACACCCACACCCACACACACACAACTGATACGTTCATGCGGCCACACACAGAGGAAGCTGCTGTAAAATTGTTGAATAAGTTACCAAAAATTTCACCAGTTTTCCCCCTCAAAATATGGTGATTTTCTATTTAATCTTTGTTTTTCGCACAAGAGATATATTGTCTCTTTCAAACTTCAAGCAAAAATCACAGCAATTGGGGAATAAATTAGTGACTTCACATCCATGCAACGAGCATTTCTAATATCTACAGGTGTGCAGTGTTCTACAGATGTGCCACAGAAGTCCCATAATATTAGTATCTAGGCATGCATACTTTCAGCTAACTAAGTAGGCATATCATACCCCCAATGCAACTTCTGGCGCTTCTGTGGTGCATGATAGGTTGCTATGCCCTCTTGCTGTACAAAGGAACTGCTTTCTTTCTGGTGGCTCTCAGAGTTAAAGTTAGTTGAATTTTCAATTAGTACAATTGAATCTTGATTTGCTGAGTGTTTGGCATTCAGGCCTTTGCCGTGAGACTTTCCAGTACCACCTGTGATTCACTTGAAGATTAAACAGAAAACAAAAAACATATACGAAAGAAAACGAACATAACCAAAGAAACCAAGGAACCTTTTGGTTTCTTTTCAATCTTTGATGTTGATTTTATCTGTAAACGTCTCCTGTGCAGTTCCTATAAGATTCAAGAGTTTAAGCCTTTATAAGTAATTAAAGCATTGAATGGAGAAAACCAAAAAGATACTTGATGGGCTTACGATGTTCATTCACAAAAGAAATCCTAAACTACGTAACTTCTTTAAAAAAATATCTCCAGAACGAAAGAATGATAGCTTTCTTTTAGAAGTGGACTCCTTGTTCACTTTTGTTGTCCTGTTGTATTTTTAATAAAATTTCACGTTTCTCATCAAAATCTACATTTCCACATTCCTAAGCAATGACCAGCATTTGAATTCTAAACTCACACACTTGCATGGTCTTAGAAATACTAAAAGAATCAGTCCTAGGTCCTCTAAAAGTTACCCACCCTTGTCCAGAGGTTTGTATTTGATGAAGCTTATAACATATTCAAAAGTCATTAAATCAGTAATACCCCTATTAAAACTCCAGAAGATCTTAGAACTAGTCACAGCTACAAGAACCCAATTGAACTGATTGTTCAAAAAGTTGAAGGAGGGATCAAAATATGCACAAACAAATCAGCAACCATGTGAAAGACCCAAATACAAAAAATTGGTAATTTAAGCTTCTGGATGAAAATCATTCAAAAACAAGTTTTTCTATTTCCTTATTATCCAATGTTTGGTTCTTTAGCTAGCACAGAAAGATTTCAATTTCCGTAGAGATATGAGGTGGTAAGAGTACCTGGAACTTGGAGAGCTGGTCTTGGGTGATGCGTCTGGGCTTGTAATTGGGCTGTAAACATGGCGTTGATGCTATTGCTGCTTCCTTTCTCTCATCTTCCTTGTCTGGTTCCTTGCCCATGTCCTCTGTTTTCTTACTCTTCCTTATTTTCCTTCTTTTCCCTTTCTCTATTTACGGATGCCCACCCGCGTAATCGGAGTAGTATTTTTCGGGTCAGGGTATTTCCATTACTCATAAACCGAATATTACAAAAGGCTCAATGACAAAAAATCAAAGTAGCCTAGGCCCAACATCATTAAAATAAAATCAAACAAAACAAACTGAAACCAAGCCCAAAATCACTACAAACCCTAACCCTATCAAATAAGGTCATCTTTAACCATCCGCCGCCACCATTGCCACCGCCGCCAAGATCATCACCACCATGACAACCACCCTAATTTTCAGTGCAAATTATGGAATAGAATTGGGAGACATTTTTTAGTGCAAAATTTTTTGAATTGTAATTGGAATGGAAACCCCCTAATTTTAATCCAATCTATCCGAAGATGAGGCCACACTTCAATCTATTGATTCATTGATTGGTAGTTTTTGCTCATTTTAAATTGCACTATCCTTTAGTGGATGTTTTGTATGAGTAACAAGAGTTTAGCCAGCATTTTTTATTGACATGTATATCATTATTGATTCAATTTTCTATTACACTTGCTATTTTGACTAAAAGTTTTGAGAAGCATTTGGATTTTGGAGATGCAAATAGGACCTAATTGTTACTTTTGTATGTGACATTTTTCTTTTTCTCTACACTTTTGTTACATATTCATTCAATAGGTCCCTGCCCAATGCAAAGATTTCCAAGTGCAAAGATTGCCAAACTCTATACTTGCTCGAGATTAGAGGTGTCAAACGGGACGCGCCGGGCAAGCCCATCCCATTTAAACTCGTGCTTTTAACGTTTTCGTGTCGGGCCGAGCCGTGCCAGCCCATTTAGTAAAATCATTGATCCCGGCCCAAAGCCCATGTCCATATTGAAACGGGCCGGGCCGGGCTCGTGCCATGCCCGTACTCGTGCTCGTGCCGTGCCCGTACTCGTGCTCGTGCCATACTCGGGCCCAAGAACCAATCCATTTTATTTGAATTTTTTTCACTTCATTTTTTTTTCCACTAGATAATTCAAATTATAAACATTAAAAATATAATTAGAGGCAAGAAATGATGAATTATTTGAAAAAATTAATCAATCAAACATCCAAACAATATGAAATGGCGGAGGGCAAAAAGTGTCAAACTCTACAAAGTCCACTTTAACTTTTCATCTTTAAACAACTTATTATTTTATATGTGAAATAATGTCTTGTTTTGATTATAAGAGAAGCATATATGTCATATGTACTGATTAGATATCAAGTCCAATGTTGTTTAATTAATTTGTAGTTGATATGTTTAATTAATTAAGGACCCAAGTAATTTCCCTAAAATGAAAGACATCAAATATATATTTATGATTAAAAAAATATAAATAATGACATTAGATGTCAAATTATTGCATTTTGACTTTTGAGAAAGAAAAAAATGTTAAGTGGGCCGTGCTTAGGCTCGTACCGTGCTTGAAGCGTGCTCGGGCTAAGCCCGACCCATGTCGGGCCATGGGCCAGCTCAGTCCATTGGACCTCATTTTTTGATCTCGGCCCGGCCCATTAATATATGTGCTTGTGCCGTGCCGTGCCTCATTTAAATGGGCTGGGCTCGTGCCGTGCTGGGCCGGCTGGTCCCATTTGACACCTCTACTCGAGATTGGAGATGTGAACTAGGGGAAGGGCTTTAGCCTCCACAAAATCCCCATTTTCCATTACGAAGAATTAATCTAGCTCCTTCAACTATCCTTTCTATGAGAAAGCACCATCAACATTTAATTTGAAGGAATCCAACATTGCCAACGACCCCCTACCCCCCTTAGGCTTTGAAATTTTGGAATTAACATAAGTTCTTGCTGAAATTGTACTACCTTTGCATAAGAATGTATTGCCATGTACTACCAGATTTCTCTCGAGTCTCATGCCAACCATAATCACAAACCACTTCATGCTTAGATAATGTGCTAAAAACATGCTTAAAAATCCTAAACGCATTAATGAGCATGAATCATGTAACAATATCCAACCGAAGCTTTGACTACTACTTTAGTGAACAAATGCCCTTACACTCTCCTCCTCCACTCCACCAATATCTTCTAATCATGGATGTCAATTCTCCATAAAGGCTACTAGGCAACTTGAACAAGCTCGTGGCATACGTTGGGATGACTTGAGTTACAACATGAATTAAAAGGGATTTCCTCGCCTTTGACAATTAACGCTCCTTCTACCCACAAACTCTTTCACATAGCGTACCCTAAAACATTTTTTATTTTCTTATAACCATTGGAAGCCCAGTGGCGGATCCATGATTCTCTCATTGTGAGGGTACAAAAAGATCCAGTGAATTAGATGATAGAGAGTTATGAGTTTATGATTATGACTCCTAATATTTTGGAATTGAATAAACAAAACACTATAAAGAGAATGGGGAGCATTTTTGTTCACAACTTTAACCCAATGTGTACCCTCACCAAGGATTGAAATATCGGCTGATGCACCGATATATCAGTATTTTCAAGTGTCGACAATCGATACTGGTGGGGTAAGGCTATATCTTCCCTTGTATCGGCGATATATCGCCAATAAGTGCGATATCCTTGCTATTTTGTTGACATCCTCGATATTTCCCAATACTCATAACAGAACCTAGAAAATTTTCAGTAATTTTGAAGGCAATTGAAGCAAATTGAAACCCAAAAATATATAATTCTTACCTAGAACCCTATAATATATTAATATAAAGAATCTAACCACAGTCCATTGCCGACATACCTCCAAAAACATTTGACTACCTTTAGTTCCATCAAACCTAGAGAATCATCCAATTGGAATCCATAAAATAAAATCTGTAAAGCCCATATACCATTGTCCCCCAACCCCTAAAAATTGCCACTGTTACCGCTAGAGAAGCCCTCTCAGAGGCTGTTTTGCTTCTTTTGGGGCACCAAATCTTCACTTCTCTTCTTTCTTTGCGAGCTTTTCAATTTTTATTTGGTTTGCGAGCTTCTTTCCTTGTTTGCGAGTTGCCTTTGACTATTGTTTCATGCATGTGGCTCTCCCTCATGGTATGTATTATTTTTGTTATAGATTTGATATTGTAAGTTAATTTGATATATTTAAGTGTGATAAATTTAAAATGGAAAGTAGTAATGGATCGAGTGGAGCTAGTTTGCCTGGTGGTGTTAATGTGGCATGAAAATATGCTCGTCTAATAGAAGGCAATAAGCATGGCGCAATATGCATATTTTGTGAATCCACATTTAAAAGTGGTGGAATTACACGGCTAAAGTATCATTTGGGTGGATTTGATCCATGTAAGAGTGTAAAGAAGTGCGAAGAAATACCACAAGATATTAAGAAGGAGGTAATTGCATGGGTAAAGGATAAAGAGTCTAGCAAACAACATAAGAAATCTCTTGAAGAAAACATAATATATACAACAAGAGTGGGATAGATGGGTAATAAAAGTAGCAATCCTGATGATGATGAGGATGGATATGCATATCCTCCAAACAGGTACCTAGTGGAGAAAGAAGATTACATTGCTATCATTAGAGCATCGAAGTAAGAAGAACGGTTCAGATAATGAGGAGTTTACGGAATAGGAAGCAAATGATTTGCAAGGGGAGCAAGTGGTAGTAGTCAACCACAATACCATCACACTCAAAGCCTTCGAGACCCACTCCCATCTCCTCCAGTACCAATGACAGACAAGAACACTAGAGAAAAACATAAAACAATCGAAGGCGTGATTAGAAACTTAGCAGAGGTACTTGGTGTTAGACCAAGTCCTACTCTGCCTACGGTTTCAAGAGTTTGTGATCAAGTCAACTTGTTATCTTCCAAGAGTTAGTTTTGGTTAAGACTCTTTTAAATATTTCATCCGTGTAAATCTAAGTGTGATGTTTCTGTTGTATTGTTTGAATTTCTAATAGCCTTGTAAATAGGGATTTCAGTTCCCTGATGTAATCTTGAATGAAGTATAAATACATGCAGCCCTTACTGATTGGGGTAAGGCAATTGAGATCACACATCCTTCTCTAAGTTTTACATGGTATCAAAGCCCTAGCAGTCTAACGACACAGATCCAAATTTTTTTTTCTCTTTGCTTTCATGGCCGACTCTAGCAACAGTGACTCCACCCCAACTATCAACACCACTCTCCCAAATTCCACCATGAACCCCTTCTCTTCCTTGACCTCAGTTGTAAACATTAAGCTGGATATCCTTTGTGGTTGGCTCAGATCTTACCTATTCTCAGAAGTCGGGACCTGATGGGTTATGTTGATGGAACCATTTTCCTTCCCAGCAGCTTTCTGGAAGTACAACTACCAATCCTGCTTACACAACCTGGGTACAGTACGATCAAATGATACTCAGCTGGATTAATGGCTCTCTCACGCCGTATGTGCTCTTGGTCGTGGCCAGCAAGAGGACCTCTCGTGCTACCTAGGAGGCTCTCGAGCAACGTTATGCTTCTACGTCCCAGAATCGCATCTTGTTTATGCGGAATGAACTTATACAAACCAAAAAAGGTGATTTGTTGATTGCTGATTATCTTGATAAAATGAATGCTATTTCTGATAACCTTGCCCTAGCTGGCAAACCTGTGGGTGATGATGAACTTGTCCAGATTATCTTGAACAATCTTGGACCTGCTTATGAGATGACAGTGAACGCTGCTCAGGCACGTGATACTCCCATCACGTACCCTACGCTTGAGGCGCTCTTACTGACTACAGAAAGGAGGATGACTGAGCAAGCTGCTCCCTTTGTGGAGGTTCTTCTGTTAATGCTTTTGTCACTGCCAGAGGTCGTGGTGGACGATTTCGTGGCAACGGACGAGGAATAGTTCCAGCTGGACGTGGTGGTGCTGCTGGACGTGGTGGTGTCAATCCTCGCCCCAATCCTTATAATAACAATGTGAGACCTAATTATGCAAACAATGGTGAAAGGTTTAATGGTGCAGGTGAAAGGATTACATGCCAGATTTGTGGGAAACCAGGGCATCCTGCCCTAGATTGCTACCAGCGAATGAATACTGCGTATGAAGGAAAGGTCCCAGCCAGGAAACTCACTGCCATGGCCACCTCTCCTATTACTCTTAATCGACAAACCAATGGGCAGTGGTTACTTGATACTGGTGCCAATGCACATGTCACTCCAGATCTTCAGAATTTGGTTAATCCAAAAGAGTATAACGGTAATGAGAATGTTGGTGGAGTAGGTAATGACTCTGGAATTTCTATTTCTCATCTTGGTTCAAATACATTACATACTAAATCTTGCTCATTTGAATTAAAAGATATCTTAAGATGTCCCACTGCCTCCACACATATTATTTATGCCCATAGATTTACCTTAGACAATCAATGCTATATACTTATTTTCCCTCATTTTTTCCTTGTAAAGGACCTCAAGACCCGGAAGACGCTTTTCCACGGGAGATGTGAGAATGGCTTATATCCATTTTCAGGTGGCGGTGGACAGTTTAACTACCCTATTTCAGTGTGTGTAGGCATTCGAGTCTCGGCTCAAAAATGGCATTCACGTCTTGGTCATCTTACCTTGTCTACTGTCAAGTTTTTAATTTCCAATAAGAAAGTACCAGTTCTTGGTGCTTCCAATGTAGCGTTTTGTCAGTCATGTCCCTTAGGAAAGAGTACTAAATTACCTTTCAGTATTTCCAAGTCTGTCTCTCAATTTCCTTTACAATTGTTGCATTCTGATGTTTGGTGTTCTCCAGTAAATTCAGTTGATGGTTTTCGTTATTATGTGTTATTCGTGGATGATTATTCTAGATATTCTTGGGTTTTTCCAATGAAAAGAAAATATGAAGTTTTTGAAATTTTTGTGAGATTAAAGCACAGGTCGAAAATATGTTCAATACTTCCATCAAAACCCTTCAATGTGATGAAGGTGGGGAATATAAAAGTCATGTTTTTCAAAATTATCTTGCATCTCACGGCATTTCACAACGATTTTCGTGTCCAAAACATCCTGAACAAAATGGTATTGCCGAACGAAAACATCGTCACATTGTTGAGTCTAGTATTGTCATGCTTTCTCATGCCCATATTCCAAATAAATATTGGGTGGATGCTTGTTTAACAGCTACTTATTTAATTAATAGATTGCCAAGTCGTGCCTTGTCCCATAAATCGCCGTATGAAAAATTGTTTGCCAAAGTTCCCAAATATGAAACTCTCAAAGTGTTTGGCTGTCTTTGTTTTCCTTGGTTAGTCCCTTATACACAACATAAACTCCAACCAAAGTCAAAATCATGTGTGTTTTTAGGTTACTCACTGAATCATCAAGGGTATAAATGCTTAGACTTGTCCACGAGATGAATCTATTTGTCTCGCCATGTCCTATTCGATGAGGACACTTTTCCATTCAAGGAACTCACATCTTCCCTGGACAGCGTTGGAACCACAAGTAGTAATACTTCCCCTGACTTGTTATTTACTTTTCCTCTTTTATCTCCATCACCCCAAGCCAACCCATTATCTCCTAGCCCGCCTTTACAGTCCCTTCATCAACCAAACACCATAGCATATGATATTCCTAATCCTACTAACCTGCTCTCCACTCCTGCCTTACTTAATCCTCTAGCCACGGCAAACCCAATGCCTTTACAAATCTCTAGGCCTACCATTTCCTCTTCACATGAGCAAGAGGCAGTACCAATTCCTGAACTGAACCAATCCGTGCCAACTGATACTCACGGTGCTCCGTCTTCCAATTCACAGTCAATCCAACCTCAAAGAATGACTACTCGTTCACAATCTGGCATTCACAAACGTAATCCTAAATATGCATTGCATGTTAATATTGATCATTCTCTCGTTGAACCAACCTGTTATAGTCAAGCCTTCAAGCAACATGAGTGGAGGAATGCCATGGTTCAAGAGTTCAACGCACTACAGCGTTGTGGTACCTGGAAACTTGTTCCGTATCATCCACAAATGAATTTGTTGCCTAACAAGTGGGTTTTCAAGCTTAAACAACGTGCGGATGGCTCAATAGAAAGGTATAAGGCGAGGCTTGTTGCCAACGGATTTCATCAGAAGCCTGGCATTGATTATACAGAAACCTTTAGTCCTGTGGTGAAGCACAGCACCATACGACTTGTTCTTAGTCTTGCGGTTTCCAAATGGTGGCCTATTAGACAATTGGATGTACATAATGCATTTTTGCATGGATTTTGAACGAGGATGTGTATATGAGACAACCTGCTGGTTTTGTTGATTAGCAATATCCTAATTATGTTTGCAAACTACAACGGAGTATCTATGGCTTGAAACAAGCTCCTCGTGCTTGGTTTCATCGGTTCTCAGAATTTTTGCTTCAATTGGGATTTGAAGCGTCCACTTGTGATTATAGTTTGTTTGTTTACAATCACAGAGGTATTTACTTAATTTTGTTGATATATGTGGACGATATTTTGTTGACAGGAAATAGCTCACGACAAATGGGTTGCTTAATCAAAAAACTGGGAACTTTATTTTCCATGAAGGATTTGGGTCCACTACATTATTTTCTAGGAGTTGAAGTACAATATATGAATGATCAGATGCATTTGAGTCAAGCTAAGTATGCCTTGGACTTGTTGAAGCGTACCAACTTTTTGGATGCCAAACCAATTTCAACTCCAGTTCCTTGCGGCCAGAAATTGAGTGCTTATGATGGTGAGCCACATGACAGTCCAGACTTGTATCGGAGTGTAGTTGGCGCGCTACAGTATCTAACCATCACCAGACCCGATCTTTCCTATGCTGTGAACCAGGTCTGTCAGTTCATGCACTCTCCAACAACTACGCATTGGACGACAGTCAAGAGGATACTTCGCTATGTTAAAGCCACGTACAATCATGGTCTTCTGTACAAACCTGGTCTTTCACATCTCACGGCCTTTTCCGATGCTGACTACGCTGGGAATCCTGACACTCGGCATTCCACTGGTGGTTTCTGCATTTACTTCGGCTCCAATCTTGTGTCATGGAGTTCTAAGAAACACAAAACGGTGTCTCGCTCGAGTTCCGAAGCTGAGTATCGGCAGCTGGCTTACACAGCTGCGGAACTGTCATGGCTAAAGTCTTTTTCCGTGACTTAAAGTTACATCTTGTTTGTCCGACCATTTGGTGCGACAATATCTCGTCCATTGCCCTAGCTTCGAATCCAGTTTTTCATTCGCGCACGAAGCATTTGGAAGTTGATTACCATTATGTTCGTGAAAAGGTGGTTCGTGGTCAGTTAATGGTGAATTATATTTGTTCTCAAGATCAAATTGCTGATTGCTGATTGTTCACTAAAGGCCTGTCTTCTTTGCGTTTCAAATTTCTAGTTTCCAAGCTTTCAGTGGCTTCTCCCCCTGTCAGCTTGCGGGGGGATGTTAGACCAAGTCCTACTCTGCCTACGGTTTCAAGAGTTTGTGATCAAGTCAACTTGTTATCTACCAAGAGTTAGTTTTGGTTAAGACTCTTTTAAATATTTCATTCCGTGTAAATCTAAGTGTGTTGTTTCTGTTGTATTGTTTGAATTTCTAATAGCCTTGTAAATAGAGATTTCAGTTCCCTGATGTAATATTGAATGAAGTATAAATACATGCAGCCCTTACTGATTGGGTAAGGCAATTGAGATCACACATCCTTCTCTAAGTTTTACACTTGGCAGATACTGTAGCAAATTCTTCATACTTGAAAATGTGGCTCTTCATAAAGCAGGTTCCTAACAAGAACATGATTGTTGCAGCCCAACAAGCAGGTTTTGCTTTCTTTATGACTTCCCTTTCTTGAACTTAAGTATTCTAAACACATCAATTACTAATATGAGTTCGATTCTATTAGCTCAAGGCATACCCTCACCATCGTTGTATGAAATAAAGAATAAATACTTAGATATGGAACACACATACATGCAAGCCTATGTGGAAAAGGTAAAGGAAGATTGATGCGTGTATGGATGCACCATCATGAGTGATGGAAGGACTAGCCCGACAAGGTTGTCCATAATAAATTTCATGGTCTACTCAAATGGGAAAACTAATTTTTTTTTAAAAAAAAATCAGCGGATGCTTCAAATAAAACCAAGATGCAAAGTACATGACCAAATTGTTGAGGGAATGATGATGGAGCGGTACCCTATTTATTGGACTGCTTGTGATGCACATTGCATAGATATAATATTTGAAGATATTGGGAAGCAAGAGTTGGTGGCTAATGTCATAAATACGGCTAGAAAATTAACGAACTACATTTGCAATCATGGTTCGCTATTGGCATAGATGAGCATCTTTTGTCAAGGGGATTTAGTCTGACCGGGTGCAACCCGGTTTGAAACAAACTACATCAGCATCAATGTCATCTTAAAGAAGAAAGCTGGTTTAGGCAACTTTTTACAAGTGAGGAATGATATAATAGTAGATTCAGTGAATTAGAATATGGTTAGAGAATTGAAAGTAGAGTCTTTGATCATAGATTCTAGGATGCCATGGAATGAGTGCATGCCATCTATGAGCCTTCGTATGGCATCCTGAAAATTGATGACACAGAGGTAGTTCCTACCATGTCTATCTTATATAATATGTTTCACATAATGAAAGAGAAGATTTCCAAATTGAATGGAAAAAAATGGATTCTCAAAATCATCAATCACAGATAGGATGTCACATTATCTTGTCCATTACATCAAGCTAGTATGTTTTAATCTCTTAGTAAAAAAGTGCATCGATTTTTAAACTTATACAACATGTATTAACTAATCTTCATATTTGTAGCCCACTACTTGAACCCTAGATATAAATATGAAACAGGGGTTGGCCACAATAAAGAGTTACTTTTAGGACTCCAACACTTATTTGAAAGGTTGAACCCAACTAGGGATAGAGGGTTACAAGAATTTGGGGCCGAGGTAAGTGAACACAAAACAACGCCTTCCTCATTAAGTTTAGTTTTATGCATACTAAACACAAAACATTATGAATTAATGTGATAAATTTTAGAGATTGTAGAAAGACGTTTCGCACTGAGATGGTCATCAAATCAAGAAAATCGATCCCCCCTAGAATAATGGTGGAATCTTCATGGCAATTCTGCCTCGAACTTGCAAAAAAAATCTATGTGTATATTGTTACAAACAGCGTAATCATCGGCATGTGAGCAAAATTGGAGTACATTTGCTTTTATTCACACGAAACAAAGGAACCGTCTCACATATACTAGGTTGGAAAAGATAGTCTTTTGCTATTATAATATGAAACTTAAGCTACGTGATGAAGAGGCCGAAATGAACAAGGTTATAGAAAATGACTACATAGACCTTCTTGACATTGCAGGGCAACCATCAGATGATGATAATAATCCAATTCAATAATGGATTATGGCAGCTCATGTGGATGATGAATAAGGCAACCCTGATGTTGTTATAGCATAACATGCTGCCCAAGAAGGAGTTGATGTTGATAGAGTCATATTTGAAGATGTTAGGAGTGGATATACTTCATTATTTGAAAGGGATATGCTTGGACCTCGTCAAGGTCAAAGACATCCCTTGAGTGACGATGTTGGTACTAGTAGGAAGGAAAGTTCATCCAATTTGTCAGATAATGTGGAGGAAGTGATGTTGGATTAGGAGGTAATTAAGAAGGAAGACAATATAGCCCATTTATTATCGAGGGTGATTTAACTCATGCCACCCAAGATGAGGATGATGGATGCAGAGAAGTTGGACTAGGCATTGGCGCAATTGGGAAGTAGTACTCAAAGAGAAGAAGCCAAATAATCAATCCATTTAAAGAGGACATGGCAATCAGTTTTGGATCTATAAGGACAAGAACTAGACCTAGCACTAACTCAAATGAATCTTATGATGGCTATGGTTATGTCATGTCTGATTATAGTGGAAATAGTTATGGAGCTTAAGATGATGAAACATATTATGGACCTACTAGTTGGGTTAATCCTAACTATCCAATATATGGGAGGGTAGTAGAGAGCTCAAGAGAGACATATGTGCACCATGTTCAAACATAGCTTATAAACTGCTCTGGTTACATGACTTAGTTTGACTATTGTATGAATCTAGATGGTTGTTCCTCATTGTTTGAACCTCATAGGAGCTCTTCAGTTATGTAGATGGACACTTATTTAAATTGTAATTCAATGTTTAAATAAATTATGAATTTATGCGTGGTTTATTCATTCTAATCAATATTTTATTTTCAAACTTTTCATTAATGCACATTACATACCACTTATATTTCATCATATGTATATCTTATTATTAGTACATTTTGAGTTTTATTTGTTCAATACATTCATTGATAATGTACATAACATCTATGAAAGTTTTACACCAAAATTCTGTGTTTTAGTGCCTATATTTGTCATATTAGTTGATTTTTTCCCAATGCCTAAAACAATAATGATATATCCCTTGAAATATCCGTAAATTGGAGGCCTGATATTATCTGCACGACCGATATTTTAATCCTTGACCCTCACCACCCTTCTCAAATGTTGACACATGTACAAGGGTATAACCATGGTCAGGATACAGTGAACTCGACCCCTTGCATCCAAGTTCGAATCCCCACTAAACTAGAAATTTTATTTTCAAATGGGTGCATATGCCTACACTACCTTGTAGGTTCGCCAGTGTGCCCCCTAAGTGCTTCGCTTGAAACTCAACAAAAGGAACACAACACTTGACTGATGTCCTTCAATATGTTGAAACCACCCCCATTCTAATTGCAAGGGCATAGTTGGAAGATTAAGGGGGAAAAATAAAGTGGTGGTGGTTTCATCCACTGGCGAAGTCATATAGGCCCCGTTTGATTAATGGGAAATGAGGCTTGGGGATGAGAAATCAATTGTTTTCCCATGTTTGGTAAGTTCAAGTATGAGAAATGGCTGTCTAACACATGGGAAAGTAAGGGGGAAAGTGAAGCCCTCCTCTCCGTTGGGTTTTGTTTTCCCTTCTCATGAGAAAGTTTGGGAAAATGTGTCAACATTAAATGCACATTTTTCATGACTATTTTCTCACAATTAACAATTTAGAATTACAATATAGCATTAAATACATTCTTTTTATTTGATTTCATATGGGTATAATTGAAAAATTAAATAAAAAAATGTATTTAATGCTATATTGTAATTCTAAATTGTCAATGGTGAAAGGAAATAAAGTGATATTTCCTGGTTACTTTCCTAACATTATCAAACATGGAAAAGAAATCTTTCATTTCCTATCCCTTGGGAAAGACATGGGAAATTATTTCCCATCAAATATTTTTCGTGAAACAAACGGGATCATAAGGTTCAGGATGGGATAGATACGAGGAGACATGAAGGTTTCAAGGAGTTTTGTTTTTGTTTTTGTTTGTTTTTTTTTCATATATCAGTTATTCTAGCTACAACTTAGAATACCATCCGATTACTAGCTTGTGGTGTGTTGAATATAATTGATAAATCTTTGCTCTTCTTTTTTTCCTTATGTTGTCTCTCCCTCCCTTTATTCGTAATCATATGAAATCAGAAGGAGAAAGAAATTCAAACAGAGATAAATAAGTCACTTTATGTTCTATTACCATATCGCTTCTTTTTCCTACACTGTAATTTCTTTCATATCGTCTAAAGTGTCCCTCCTAATATGAATTTCTGGCTCCACCACTAATTTCAGCATTTAGGAGGTGTCAATGTTTCTCATGTGACAAATTATAAATTTTTTTGAAATTTAGCGAAGATAATTTTTGTCATATATAGAATTTGAAATAAAAAAAACCAACGCATATTTGACATCACAATATCACTCGATCATATATAATGCGAGTAGAAGTTTTCAAGCAAAATAAGTTAGCATCTATCTTTGCTCTACCATATGTTCATAGACAATGGTAGCTAGGGCGAGCAACAAATCACTAGTGCCTTTGCCACAGAGTATGTATTAACGGAAATTTGATGCTGGGCTTGAATACACTTCGTTATTTATTCAATTTTTATCAACCAACCTCCTGCAAATAGATCTTAGACTACACTTATTTTTCTATATATATATATGTTCTATTTCGTATCGGTTTTCCATAGAAAGTGAAACAAAAAATTTCTAGTCTGCTATTGATTTTCATCCGTAAAGAAATCCCAAACCCTAGTTGATTAAACGGATGTAATTAATGCACTCAAACTGCCTTCCAAAACCAGATAATTAGAAACTTCCAAAAGATGACAATTTCCAGGCTAGCTAGTTTCAATTAATTATAATTAAACCCTAATTACCTGCACAAAGGAGAAAAGTCCTCTCAAACTAGAGGAGAAAGAAACGTATACTGACAGAAAACTGAAGAAGAAGAAGAAGAAGAAGAAAGTGGAAGGGCAATTACTTCAATAAAATCCAAGAACTATAAACAGAACGGTTGCATGGAACATGCGTTTTGAGATACGTGGAGCTCTAGCCTCACATGCAGAGCAAGGCTCTCGAGCTAACTTCCAGATCATCATCAACTTCAAGGACTCCACTCTTTGCTTGCATGTGTGGGACCCACAGGTTTTGCATGGACACCATCCAGGTGGCCTGAAACGCAGTTTAAAGTATTCGTGGTGCTGATTTTCTCAGGACTCGGCGAGAAAATAATGTATAAGCAAAACTGCTCTAAGTACCTAATTCGTGTGTGTAAGGATATGATGATTTTCTCGAGAAATGGTGACTCTAGAAACCTCTGAAAGAAATCTCTCTCTCTCTCTCTCTCTCTCTCTCTCTCTCTCTCTTATCAGTTTCATTTCATCAAACCCTAATAGCCAGCAGGTGGGTTGTCTATAAAAGAGAGCAATCCCTTTCACATTTTCTGTGCTCAAAGAGGCTCAACATTAAGCTCTCTCTTTCTCCTATAGCTGTTAGCTACCTACCCCATTCAGACGCTGTTTTTTCCTCTCTTTCTCTCTATCTCTCTTTCTCTATACTCTTTCATACACATATACACTCACACACAGAAAATGAGGAGGCCGGCTGTGAGCCCAGTGGACGGAGAAAGGCAGGTGACGAGGAGGAGAAGCAGAGAGCCAGGTCAAGGGAGCTCATCCTGGAGAAGGACGATGAATAACAACGATGGAATCCAATGTGGCCATGGAGTTCTGACGAGGCAAATGGCGAGGGAGATGATGACGATAAAAGAGAAGGAAGATCAGGCGCAAGAAGAAGAGGTAGTGGTGGTGGAGCCCATAAAGGATGATGAGCATGGAGAGGAGATCGTGAAGGCTGTGGAAGAGATGGAGAAGGAGGTCGTGAAGGCTATGGAAGAGGTGGAGAAGGAGGTCGTGAAGGATATGGAAGAGAAAGATGGGGTGGTGGAGGCCGTGGAGGAGGACGTGGAGGTCGTGAAGGCTATGGAAGAGGTGGAGAAGGAGGTCGTGAAGGATATGGAAGAGAAAGATGGGGTGGTGGAGGTCGTGAAGGGTATGGAAGACGAGGTCATGGAGGGTATGGAGAAGGAAGAGGAGGAGGAAGAGGAAGAGAACAAGGAGGATAATGTAGTTGACCTAACTGGTCTTGAAGGGGAGGTGGAAGTAAAGGTGGAGGTGGAGATGAAGGAGACTGAAAATGTGTCGTCACCGGCACCGGCACCACAGGCGGTGGAGAAGAATGAAGAGAATGATTTAGGACTTGGGTTGAGCCATTTGGGGTGGTCTCCATGGGAGTCCCCGTTGGAGCAGGCTGTGTGGGTTTGACTGGGATTTTCGTAGTGGGCTTGGGTATCGTTTTGTTGATCCAGATAATCCAAGTCATGATTATGATGATGTTTACTGGGACGATGATCTTTGGAATGCTCCATTTGATTACTTCCCCCGAAATCCCAAGTCCTAAGTTATATACGTTGTTTTTGTTGTTATCTTCTGTATTTGTGAAAATTAATCATATTATAAAAATTATGTACACTTACACAATGCATACAAACTTGAGTTTTACAATCTTTCTTAAATTCCTGACTGCATCTCAATCATGGTTACAGTGCCCCCAAGGCAATGTATTATGCGAAAGGGTTGTTTTTTTCATTAATTTTTACATGATTACGTATTAATTAAGAAATTATCTTATTTTTGTTCTAAAAAAATTTAAGCATTTACAGAAATTTCAATTCTGATAACTTATGTACAGATGAAGGTCTTGATTAGTACTTGTGTATGTATATATACATAACTATTTACATGTGAGGCATCATAAGAGAAGTAGAGATTTTAGTTATATACCAATTCTTAACACTACTAATATAGATAAACCCTTACACTATTTAATTTTATAAATCCAAAAAATGACAACTAGCCTATTGAATTTAATTTTGATTATTAAATTATTTTGATACCTATTGAGTGTTTTGAGTTTTATTTATTTATGAAGTTTTGAGGTTGAGTTTGTTTTAAGAAATCGATGGTTAATTCTCTCAGAGAAGTATTGGTTAATTCTCTTGCTTTGCTTTCAATTTTAAGTAGTGCAATTTATCCTTTTATTGAGGCTTCCAATTTTTATATTGAATATATTTTGCCTCCAACCGGCCGTCCTTTAGATATCATGGTGGATCATCAAGCTCCTGTACAACCAAAACAATGTAGCAACACAGCTAATTGCAAAACCAAAGCAGAAAATTTATCTCTATGTCACATAGACTGTGTATACGTACCTAAGTAATACTACATTTTCCTAATCTCTGGTAGATAATTTGCTTTCAGTTATCTGTTTTTGCATGGTTCAACAATAACTTGCTAAAATTAGAAGTTCCCATATAGGTCGCAATGATTATGATAAATAATCAAAATCTCGAGTAGCTAGATTTATTGACTTTATCGCGTAGATATTTGGATGAGACGATAAATCCAACTCATTTTTCTCGTGAATTAATTTATCATTTATATCACATTGTTATATCAGGAGGAAACAAACAAAAAGATGCAGGTATAAAATTGTAAACTATGGGCAAAAAGACCTGTAAATCTCGATATAGTGCTCTCATCCCTCTTCGTCTCTCACCTCATCCTCTTCGTCCACCATTGAAGATTTTCTGGAGAAGCTTGCTCTCTCAAAGTAACCATTCACTCTCTAACGGCCAATCCTTCTTTATTTTGTCACTCAACCTCTCAAATATTTTACTCCTGACCTGTGGTTGGCTTGTTAGTTTGTTGCCAGTGATATTTGTAGGTAAGCTTCATATTTCTTGAAAAATTTCCATTTTACTTATTGTTAAAATTTCGAGACCATAATTAAAGAATCGCAAATTTCAATTAAATTACTTGTGTTTTAAATTTATGCTTTTTTACATTCTAGCTGCCGATATAGAAGGATATTTTTTGTGAGCCAACAAATTTTTAAGCTTTATAGAATTCTTAAATTTTGTATGAAAATGTCCTAAAATTGGTGGAGTTGCCTTTATCTATGGTTTTCTTTTCTTTTTAATAACATTTAGCTAGAGCGCTTGTTTTAGATGTGTCTTATAGATCAGAATAGCACAATTTGTGATTTGGAATCGTGGTCAGTCAAAGATAAGTTAGGATCCTATCTTATACAAGATCAAACTTCTTAGTGAATAGTGAGCAATTTTGAAATCTATTTCTTTTCCTGCCTTAAAAAAAATAAAAAAAATCACAGGATCAATAGGGAAAACTTCATTACTGAACCAAAGTTGGAAAATAAGAGGAAGAGGAGGTGAGAAGGCGCTTAATACCTGCCCCCAATTGCATTTCGTTACCAGGGTTTTGGTGTAACCCCAACTAACAGCATGCACCATTACATAGGGAAGGACTGACTCATTAAATGTTACCCTATAAGCAATAGCAACACCAAACTAGGAAACTGATAAAACAATGATGGCTGCGTAGTCTCTATTGTTAGTGGAGACAAGAAAAAAAGAAACAATCATTAGTGAAAAAGATAGGACTTAAGCTAGGCACCCCTCGGCATATTACAATTCCTTGTAGCTCACCTCTTCTTTTCCGCACTAGAAAAGAAAGTAATAAAACCCTCAGCACCAACAAGAAACAAGTAAGTTGATAACGGATCACCCTGTCAAAGTCTCCTTGAAGGACCAAGCCCACCTTACGACTACCATTTATGAGAAATGAGCACACACCATGATCATATCCACCTATCACCGATGAAAGCCTAACTTCAACATACCATTCAAGAAAACCGCATTCTGCACCGTCGTATGCCTTACTCATGTTTAATTTCAACGCCAGACCTATTTTTCCACGCCTTATTTTCTAGCTACAAAATTTTCTGAGATCATATATACATCCCGAAACGAAAGCTCTTTGACTATTAATCGACGTTGTGATCCCTTTCGACCTATTCACCCAATCACTGAGGGTAACTGACGTTACCTGCCATTTAAAATAGAAGTATATGGATTCAGTGTAAGTATATTTGAATAATTATATGATTGAACCTTAACTCCTCTATATCCTTTCATTTTGAATTTAGATAAAGTTTGACATTGAACTTATTCAGATATGATCAGGGGCTAGGTCGGACTTGACCGCCAATTCCTAGTACATGTTTTGGGTAGGAGGATACTGCATTACAATTTTTGTAATTTCTGTATTTTGCTTCCACTAGGCTTCCTAGTGGTTCTAGGGTTTGAGGTAGTATTAAAAGCAAACTTTACCTAAGGTTTCTCTAAATTTTCTAGTGAAGTACAAACTTTCATGTTTTAAGGCTGTCGCTTAATTGCCTTCCCTTTACCCTAGGTTTCTCTCAATTCTTATTATGCTAACTCATTCCTCTTCCATTACAATTTTTTTCCATTAGTTGACTAAAATTTTCTAGGTTATTTAATTAGAAATTAATAGGGTAGTTAGATTTATGGTGCGCCCACTAGTTAGAATTATGGTGGTTACCGTGAATCACATTTAAAAAAAATACTATAATAAGAATCTTAATTTCTTTTTAGTAGCAAAGGGGGAAGAAGCCCAAAAAGAAACAAATTGCCTAACCCAACGGGCTTAAATGGCCACCCTAGGCCTAGAAAGGCCAAAATAAATTCGTTTCTAGTTATTTTTATCAAATTATTAAATGTGATGCAAAAATATCTTAATAGTGAATACAATTAATTATGTCTTCACAATAATAGGCAGTCTAGCATCTCACTAGACGCAATTGCAACCAAATTTGAATCCCTGATTTATCCTAACCAAATTCGCCCAAACATTTTCCAAATTTCTGAACTACATTTGTTTGATCTCGTCATGGGAACGTAGGCAGTCTAGCATTCCACTAGGCGTAACTGCAACCAAATTTGAATCACTAGTTACATCAACCAAATTCCTCATAATCAAATTTGTCTCCATGCAATTTAATTCCGAACTACGTTGGTTTGATCCCTTCAAAAAGGTACGTAGGCAATCTAGAGACTCAATCTATATGCAATCGCCCAAATTCCAAATATAAACAAAATCAGTGGTTTATTCTTAACCAAATTCACTCCAAACACAATTCTATATTGAATCCCTGGTTTATTCAGCTAAATTCACTCAAACACTCCTCAATACAATTCAAATCAAATTTCCCTCGCAATGAGTCATTTATTCATTGCGATTCTTTGAACTACGAGTGACTTAATTCCCGCAAGAGATACGTAGGCACCCTGAGGTTCGACTTAGGAGCAGCTGCAAAATTAAACACATACGTTCTGTTTCTTTATGATGGAATCAAAGGGTGTTCTCTTAAAGCAAGTGATTGTAATTAAGAGACACCGCGTCTCGAATAGGTTGAATCTAAAATAATAAAACCCCATTATTTAATTAGTGGTGGTGAAATTATGTTGGGAGGTTTACATTTTTCTACAAGAAAATTTTTGGCACACCTAGTGGGACCCATTTTCCTTTTCATCTCCATTCATAAATAGACTAATCATATTTACTTTGTGTTTGCCTCGGGTTATTAAAACCAAAACAAGGGCACCACAAGTTATGCTACTTCTAAGAGCTTTTTTAGAGTTATGGCTAGCACTGAGACTGCAAAGGTCATTAATGCCCAAGCCACAAGAACTCCATCTAGGAAGGCAACCCCAAAATGCAAGAAAGAGGGTTGTTAGCTGTGAATTTGTCCAAATTGAAGATTTTGGAGCAGCGACAACAAATGCCACAAAGGCTAAATTCTTGAAAGCCATCAAGGTTCAAAGGCAATTAAAGCCTTCAAAAGCACTCAGTCATGATTGGTTGAATCTTTATCAACTTGATCTTTCTAGCATCAAAAGGGCACAAAGGACCAACCACCGTAAACTTGAGCATCACAAAACCAATGATGGTGATTTATGTTAAAGAACCCTCACTATCCAAGTATTCTCACCAAATTGCTAAATCATCAAGGTTGAACAAGTCCATAAATTCATAAATAAAAATAGAGCAAAGTAAAGCTTTACCAATCAAGTGACGAGAGCTCGAGCACCACAAGGGGCCACCAACACCCCCCCCCCCCCCCCCCTCTCAGGTACAAGCAAAGTAAAGACATGAAGCTGATATGTCACAACGGCAATCCCCTCAAGTTAAGACATGAAACTGATGTCACAGAGAGTAATCCCCTTAGTTCAAAGTCAAGCCAAAACATGGAAGTGACATCTCACATGTGGCATCTTCAAAGATCCAAGGGGAAGCCAAGATTTTCAATGGGTCGCATTGTTACTCCAAAGCAATAGGCGATTTCGTTTCATTCCTGAAGAATGCTCTTAGCCCTAAATGAC